TAATTGGGATGAATTTCTGTCACCTGTAGTATTTGCATATAATACAGGGACACATTCAACAACTCAATATTCACCATTTCAATTATTATATGGTCGAGAACCAAGATTACCTACTGATGGACCAATATCATCATTTACATTTCATAAACCAAATGATTATTATGAGCAATTAAAGAAAAGTATGAAATTAATACATGGATATGCTCGTGAAAACATTATTCGTAAACAACATCAATATAAAACTCAATATGATAAACGACGTCCTGATCCTCATTATGCAATCAAAGATCGTGTTTTAATTAGAAGACATGGAATGAAAAATAAATTAGAACCAAAATATTCAGTTACACCACAAATTATTATTCGAGAAAAATATCCCGTTTATATTGTTAAAGATGAAATAACTCAATGTGAAACACGAGTACACATAAATGATATTAGACCCATTTATGTTTCAAGATCAAATTAAAAAAAAGAAAGTAAAACAAAATCAACAACACCAGATTCATCAAAAATTTTATCAAAATCTTTATTAATATTTTTACAAATATTTTATTGATAGTATTATTAAAATGTTTATCATTTTTATTATGCATTCATTGATAAATATTTTTTTTATTGATTTTGGAAAAGACTATGTTAACGATGTTTTATGTTGTACTATGTTGGATGTATGCGCAACAACTGATATGGAATAACATTCATCATCTATGAATTGGATTAATTGATATTTTAATATGCGCGCATTAGAAAATCAATTTTATTATCGAATCCAAATGGAAAATTAATAATGATAAAATTTACATTTACAAAAAAAATAAAATAAAAAAGATGAATCATTGATGGAAACTCTCTCCAAAGAATTGTTTCTAAACAAGACCAATCACATTAAGAGTTAAATCAGTTCTTAGTGTTAACGACACTCATGTGTTGTTTATTTTATACGTACAAGTTATCCATTCATGTTTTAACAATTTTATTGGTAGTTCAAGGTTATGATTCATACACATGTTATTTATTTATTTTTTTTTTAACCCACATAAGATATTGTTTAATTACTAACACATCATTTATTTATTCTCGATTTAGTTTTACAGTTACTTCAATTAAAACATTTATATACAAGTTATCATGAACAAGGATATTGTGAACCAAGGATTTAATGAAATCTATCCTGCATTTGTTATACCTGAAACAAGTCATGAAGTTATACTTATCAATCGATACATGTCGATGGAAGTTATGGACAAAGTGTTAAATCACATTAAGGATTGTTATCAATATTCGGTAGATACTGAAAGTGAAATGTCAACCCATGAATTATCTATTATACAATTTCATACAATTCCTCGTACATTACCATCACAAGTACTTATTATCGAACTATCACAATTACCAAATCGGCAATCTCACTTGTACGTAAAAATCAAAGAAGTTTTTAGATTAATTTTTAGATCACATAATGAAATATACTCATGGGGGGACATGAACCTCGAACTTGAATCAGCAAATTATTTATTCACATGGCCAATTACATCAGAATTAATTAACCTTCAGTCGCACTTTCCTGGTTGGTATGAATGGGCTCGGACTCAATGTAGGGTCCAGAGCCTGGAACAACAGGCGATGGAGAATAATGATATTATAGCTGATCAACGAAATTTATCAGCATCGTCATGTATATGTCACCGTCCAAGTCCATACAATGAGCATCAGCTCTGGTCATTACAAAAAGCATTTTTATATAGTTTTAATTTATTTATAGATAAAACAAGTACCTTGTCACATTGGTCATATGGCCTATCTTCAATTGGCTCATCACTGACACATGTACAGCGTAAAAAAATGATAAATTATGCTAAAAATGACGTGATGGCGGTAACTTATCTCATTAGACCAATTACCGAACAATGGTCGCTTACAAGAACAAAAGAATCAAGCATTGAAGAAATGTTTATTACATTTCAATCAAAACGACCACCACCATTACGTCAACCAAAATCGAAAAACAAAATAAAAAACATTAATGTTCAAAAATTGTCGAAGATATTTACGTCCATTAATGATTCTGACTATGAATTAATATCATCAGATGATGAAATTTATTTAAATCAATTGATAGAACCAGTTGTGAACGTTTATTGTCCTAGAGATCAAATCATTAATGATGATATGGCACAAGATGTTATTCGAGATTTAGATGATAATGTTAATGTTGAATTACAAATTGATGGACCGACAATTGATGTTATAATGAACAATGATGATGATCAAACGAACAGTGTTAACAATCACTACGTGGTTGTTGACGGGATGAATAATCCAACAGAACATCAACAACAACGAATCAAGAAAAAACGATCACTTCAAGCAAAACAAAAAAAGAACCGCAAAAGAAACAACAAATTACGATTACATCGATATAAATATTATTTAACAAGATCATATTATCATCGATTTAAATCAAGATCCCTTAAAAAAGTTCTTCGATATTATGATGTGCAATATCGACATATAAAATTTCAAGATGATAAAGTGGTTATCGGTGTTAAAACTAAGGCAGCTCAACGTGATTATGAAGAAGCATTGCCACACAATTGTTTCAACAGGAGAAATTATTACCGATTTAGAAGGTGATCATTAATTCGAACAGTAACTTTTTCCTGGTTTTTTTTCTTCTTTTCTCTTTCATCTATCAGATTTTGTTTGTTAAATAGATATTTTCCTTTCATTTGTTTTTTTTTCTCTTTTTTGTTGTCAGATATTAATGATATTGTACACATGTTTCTTTCTCGTTATTTTTCACATGTTCTTTCAGTAAAAAGTGTTTGTGAACAAAACTTTTTCTTCAAGGGGAAGGGTGTTATGGTTTATTCCATTCAACCATGACATCTACACCTCGACTATTTCTTTCGTATCTCCTTTTTTGTTATTATATTTTCTTTTCCTTTTGTTATTTATAAACTATCGTAAAAGAAGAATAAAAGTTAGTTATGCTTTAACATGAAACGAACTCGAACGTCTTTAAGATTAAGTGCAAAT